CTCTTGCGTGTATTATCAAACTCTCAAGAGTTGGGTATGCCTGTCTATCAGAAAATGATGGACCACCTCTCAGTGAAATGCTGATACCACTGCCGGTTCACATTCATAAAGGAATCTCTCCAGTATGTACCATAAAATGTTATCAAATGATCATTGTGATAAAATTCCTTCTCACAATGATCACATTCCTCCAGTGTGTATCATCATGTCTTCATAAGGTTTTTTTTTTCTCAAATGAGCTTTCAAATGACTACTTTGCTTAAATTTCTTTCCACAAATTTCACAGTGATAAGGTGTTTCTCCACTGTGTACCCTCAAATGTGTTTGCAAACAAAAATTTTGTGTGAATGTCTTTCCACAAATGTCACATTGATATGGTCTCTCCCCTGTGTGTATCCTCAAATGAGTTTTCAAAGAATTATTTTTAACAAATTTCTTTCCACAATGTTCACATTCGTAGGGTTTTTCTCCAGTATGTATTTTCAAATGTGATTTTAAATTACCATTGTAACTGAACTTCTTTCCACAATGTTCACATTCATATGGTTTTTCTCTAGTGTGTACCTTCAAGTGTTCTCTTAAACCACTGCTGTAATTAAACTTCTTTCCACAATGTTCACATTCGTATGGTTTTTCCCCAGTATGTAACTTCAAATGTTCTTTTAAATCTCTGCTGTAACTAAACTTCTTTCCACAATGTCCACATTCATATGGATTCTCTATGTGGAGTATAGTTTTCAAATGTCTATGCAGAGAGTCTTTTCGACTAAAAATAATTCCACAATGCTTACATCTATTCGGTATCTTTCCTTCATGTATTGTCAAATGCACTTTTAAATTGCTCTTTTGTTTGTATTTCTTTTCACAATGTTTACGATCATATTGCATCTCTTCCTTTTCTTTTTCAACATGTTTCTTTAACCTGTCAGTTTGGTCATGTTTGTCTACGTAACTGCATACATCCACATATTTCTCTTTTTTGATACTGTGACCAGGTAAAATAATGAACTGATGGTTTTCAGTGTAACTTTTCATTTGTGACACCATACACTTTTCTTTATCCTCATTTTTTGTTCTCCGATGTGACAGCAATGTTGGCAAACCATTAGTTGAGAAAACTTTGTCATAACTTGGACTTTCTTCATAGTTGTTAATAAAACTGCCCTGGCCTACAAAATAAATGCAATATCAGTTAGCGTTGCTTCTTGTTAATATCATTCTTCTGGTTACTATAGAGCCAAAGAGAATGTCATAATGTAGAAAGAGGAAACAGTTGAATACTGTGCTCACATGGCAAACTAAACACCAAGACAAGATAAAATGTAATGGTTTAAACATATTTAATTAAATATCCAGTCATTCAGTCATTAACCAAAATATACAAAATACAATGTTTCTAAAATAAAAGATATAATACTGTAAGGATAATACAGTCCGTTCAGGACAAATGAGAGCATTTCTTGTATACCACGCCATCAACTCCTGCTCAGTACAGGTTTGCGTTACAAATTCAACTTGACTATCTCAGTTTATGAGCACCTTAAAATATAACTTTAGTCCCATCTCCATTCCTGAACTCAGTTTAGCCTATAAATAAACCACATTGGTTGCTAACACATTGAACATCACAGTAACATGTAAAATCCAACTGGGCATGCAAATATAACCAGTACTGTACTATTAATAAACTATCATTTCAGATTGTGAATTTGTGTTCAGGTAAGTGCAATTTCAAGTTTCAAATCTACTCAATTGTTTTCTCTGTACAAAATATTAGCTTTCTCTGGCTCTTCACACCTCATACCATTAATATGCTTTACGCCCTCTAAAAGATGTAACATTCCACCCCAAAGGTCGACCAACTTCAATACTACGGCCAAAGTTATGGTACTGATACTGGTACTTGTAATTTGTAGAAGTCTGATTTCAGACTTTCGACAGCCATTGACATTATGTTGTCGTTAAATGACTCCATATTATGATGAGAGAACCATGCACAAACATTTACCAAACATACAAATATTGGAAAACTGAATGCTATTTATAAAATTTTCTATTTAATATTTATGGGCGAAAAGTATTGAGTAAAAGTATTATGGCTTCTCTGTACTTAAGTACACATACTGCCTCATTCTTATGCCAATTACTCAGTTTAAAAATTAGCGACAATGCGTTGGTTTTGGGATGATATATTAGTGTATATGTATTTTGTTTGTTTATTGTTTTACTTATATAAACACAAGTTAATCAAAAACCTAATTCGGAAGGTTCAGTAAAAATTCCAAAAGACAGCCGGACGGCTCGCTGGCTAAACCTATGTTTGAAGTGAATCTTCATAATAAAACAGTGTACTCCATCCATGTTCTGTAATTGTAGTCCTAATATTAGTACCGGTTAGTTGAACTTCAAAGCTGATTTTCTTAAAACCTGGTTCTCATGCATCTAAAGTTTAAATGCTCACGGGCGGATTGCTATAAGCGGTCTTTAGACGGTCTTAACGGTTAGCCAGCTATAATTGTGACGTCACTAATGGTCTATGATTATAGACCATTGCTATACCGTGGTCTAACCAGTTAGCCGCCTCAAATTTTAAAGCCTACTCGGAGGAGGCTTAAAACGGACTTAAATCATTTTCATCATGGCATTCTGCTGATTAATTCAACAGTGCAATGGCAAGACCGAGGCCTAGATCGTCAAAGTCGGAGAATTGATCGACAAATACTAAGCACACTTCTCAGCGTCTGCAAAAAAGGTCTACGGCATTTATTTACGTTATTGCGATACATTTGCATGCGTCGAGCATGCATGATGTCGCCCTCAATCTTATGTTACCAGGGAGTGCTTGTTTGCATTTCAATACTCAAAGTGGTTTCAGGGAAGACTGTTTTATAACAATGGTCTTAAAGGAATGACTTTAGCAAGACTGTCTAAGTGATAAAGCTGGCTTTATTCGAGGAGTTAAGACTACCAGTTAACACCGTTTTATAGCAATCCGCCCCTGATCTCTGGGAAGCTTTTCAAAGACCAAATTAAATCTTACAATGTGATCTACCCACACGTAAATCAACTAAATTTTTGATTTTCCAACCATGAGTTTCATTTTGTGGTGCACCTCACATACTATAGTGACCTAATAAAAACACTAGAATTAACCAACCTTTTTCATTCTTAATTTCAATATTTGGTATCATATTTTGGATATCCTCTTCATGTTCTGACATACTGGAAACTTGAATAACCTGGTCCATGGGTATATATAGGTATTCTGAATAATACATGGAAAAATACATCATTATTTCACTAATATCAGTACTGCACAGCCATCACCACTACCATTACAATACCTCCGCCACACAGCCATCATTACCACTTTCACCATTACCTGCACCACACAGCCATCATTATCACTTTCACCACTACCTGCACCCCTACACATCCACCATTACCACTTTCACCACTACCTGCAACACACAGCCATCATTACCAATTTCACCACTACCTGCACTACACACAGCCATCATTACCACTTTTACCACTACGTATACACCACACAGCTATCATTACCACTTTCACTACCTGCACCACACAGCCATCCCCGTCGATAACATTGTTCATATTGATCAATCTACAGTCACCAGAACTGATCAATTTTTAACAATTTCTTTACAGTTATTAAGAATCAACGGTTAACTGGCAAATTAAATTCAATACAAAGTATAACACCATTTAGCGACTATTAGGAACGGTTTAATGAAACAAAATGGTTTCAAAAGTGGACCTTTGAAACTACAGGGTCCAGTGGCAGACCCATATTGGTGGCTTGGAGGCAAAGCCCACTGAAAGCTCCAACAAAGTAGCATTGTGAGGGCCTTAAAACAGTGACAATTTGAAATATGATGGGGGGGGGGATGGTGCTTCAGCACCCTCTGCATCACCTACCTGATGAACAGAACCTGCACAACACAGTCATCATTACCACTGTCACCCTTACCTTCACTATCAAAGGGGTAACAGCTACAGTCCAAGTCCTCTCTGACAGTAGGGGCCTGAAATATTATTAATCAGCATTTTTTTGCCAACACCATGGGCTGTGTGAAACCCATGATGAGCAGAATGTGTAGAAAACACAAACATGCCCTTCACCTTCTACCTTACAAGAGCACTATGCGGCCACAAAGAAACCTTAGCTAAGAGTCTGTGGTTATACCACTGTGCACCACACTCCATTATCAAAACATTCAAGAACATCTCCTGCACACGATCGCGATCACTACCACACAAACACGCCCTTCATCTTGTAACCCAAGCCTAATAGCAAAGGGCCTCGGGCCTGTGGTTATACCACTGTGCACATACTTTCACAAACATCTACTGCTGCACTTACACACTACACAGCCATCATTATCACACTGGGAATAAAGAGTACACATACTACATTCCAAGTCTCTTGATTTGATCGGAACATCTGTATAAAATACTGTACAGGAGTCATTTTTGGTCATTCCTGTCATGTTATATTGTAAATATCTGCTGTGTTGTCAGTGAATCATCGGCTTAGATAATAATTATGTGCAGTAAAAGGATCTGTTCTGTTAACATAAATTGATATTATATATTATAATTTAGGGTCTAAATACGTCAAATCAACAACTTACCTTTTTCAACTTTGATTTCAGAATTGAGTTTGATATATTTTACATTATCTTCATCTTCCGAAGCAACAGCTTCAGATTTTATGTTGAACTCTTGATCCATGTGGGTAGCCTAGATACCAAAACCAAACAAAAAGATTCATTAAAAAAAAAAAAAATGCAGTACACAATATATTAAATTATAGAATTCCAATGATAACATTTTATATTAGGCCTACTGTACATTCTAGATATGAAATGGACTAATTAACTAAATTATTATAATAATTAATGAATAATTAATTGAATGTTTAGAGCAGTTTGCTCGAATTTAGCAGTTGCATAGAGGATGCAAAAAAGATTAAGATACTAGCTCTGTTTGGTCCTGTCAAAACAACATTGAGTAGCAAAAAGGTTGGTTTTTAGTAACCTGTTATGCCATTTTAAGAATTTATGACAAGATGGACACTACTGCTGAACCAGACTAATGAAGACCTACTGTAAGAACACACTAGGCTACAGCTCTGAGGCTGACGAAGGATACTCTCAAGCCAAGGAGAGATTAATAGGGGAAGTTAAGTGAGACGATACTACCAAACTTCAGTGGCCCTGAGGCAGTGTAAGAGATCACATTTCTATAGATTTGCCAGCAATGACGAATTTGTTAGTCAAAGGGTGTCGGCTAACTGTAACTCGTACCAATGCCTATTCATACCCATGCCAACTCTGGCAAACCTTTACCTAAATTTAGGTGAACTATTGGCTAACTCTCCCATGTCTATTCTCTGTCAAAATCTAAAATTACTTCTTACTAATATTATACTGTAGCATAATGATGAGTCATAGGGACTGGGGCTAAGAAATGTTTGGGGGGCCCCATGCACTTTGGTCATCGATTACGAAGGGCCTCTACAAAGTGAAATATCAAATTATGTCATTGCATACGCCTCCACTTTTAGGTCTCACCCCTAACCTTGAAAGTTTTGAGTACAAAATAAAACTTGAGCGTTGCTGTGTTATTTTGTAGGAATATCATTTTGATTTGCATTCCTCATCCTTTGTTTTTAATATAGATCCTCCACTTAGCCTCTTTTTGCCTACGCTAGTTTAAAGCGTTATAAAGATTTATAAATACAATACAAAATTGCTAGTTTAACTGAATTTAGACATTCCTTAAAACATTAAAAAAGTGTAAGACTGAAAATTGAATTTTAGTGTTTTACAAAAAAAAAATAAACGCAGATGAATTTTTTATGTTTGATTTTGCGATAGGTCTGCGAAGAAATATAGTAGGCACCGTAAACATTAGCCTATCAACACTGCTAGGCTAGGCCTAGCCTGGGTTCCAGGCCCTAATTTTGGGTTACTCTTTATTGCACTTTGTGCGCGCCATACCTAATTTAATTGGCATTCATGCGTACGATCTCATACATCAAATCCGATGGGGGATATCATATGCATGACTAATGACATATTAATTTAATTTTAGTAAATTTTCAAAATTGAATATGCGGATGTCTCGATGAGGACTAAGCTAGACCAGTCCCCCCCCCCCCTTCTACCTACCTACCTGAATTAAAACAGGGTTCTCCCTACACCTACAAAACAAAACAGGGGTTTCAGCAAGGACTATACATTACTGCCATTTACCACTACCGTAACAGTGCATGTCGCATGTAAAAATAAAACATTCTATTTAAAAATTACTGTACATTATTGCCATTACCACTAGGGTACGTCGCATAAATGGTGCGGTTGATTAAGGATGTGTTCTAAAGAACTTAAGGTCGTGAGTTCGAAATGTGTCTTGGTATTTTTTTTTCCAATATATTTATTTATTTTAATTTTGTACAAACCATCATTCTAAAATAATGATTTTTTTTTTGTACAAATAAACATTCTAATTATTTAAAAATTTCTATCTTATTAGCTCTTCCAAAAAACCCAATATAACTTGCGCCTCTACTGTATTTAGGAATGGAGGAACGCGCTGACTTGGTGAGCGGATGCTCTTGTTTATTTCGGTCAGCCGATTTATCCAAATATGGAATACAAGATTTGGTCATTCTTTTGGCATCATGGTAGATAAGGCTAGGCCCTGTCTCTTATACACATCTATAGCAAAGGGCCTCGGGCCTGTGGTTATACCACTGTGCACATACTTTCACAAACATCTACTGCTGCACTTACACACTACACAGCCATCATTATCACACTGGGAATAAAGAGTACACATACTACATTCCAAGTCTCTTGATTTGATCGGAACATCTGTATAAAATACTGTACAGGAGTCATTTTTGGTCATTCCTGTCATGTTATATTGTAAATATCTGCTGTGTTGTCAGTGAATCATCGGCTTAGATAATAATTATGTGCAGTAAAAGGATCTGTTCTGTTAACATAAATTGATATTATATATTATAATTTAGGGTCTAAATACGTCAAATCAACAACTTACCTTTTTCAACTTTGATTTCAGAATTGAGTTTGATATATTTTACATTATCTTCATCTTCCGAAGCAACAGCTTCAGATTTTATGTTGAACTCTTGATCCATGTGGGTAGCCTAGATACCAAAACCAAACAAAAAGATTCATTAAAAAAAAAAAAAAAATGCAGTACACAATATATTAAATTATAGAATTCCAATGATAACATTTTATATTAGGCCTACTGTACATTCTAGATATGAAATGGACTAATTAACTAAATTATTATAATAATTAATGAATAATTAATTGAATGTTTAGAGCAGTTTGCTCGAATTTAGCAGTTGCATAGAGGATGCAAAAAAGATTAAGATACTAGCTCTGTTTGGTCCTGTCAAAACAACATTGAGTAGCAAAAAGGTTGGTTTTTAGTAACCTGTTATGCCATTTTAAGAATTTATGACAAGATGGACACTACTGCTGAACCAGACTAATGAAGACCTACTGTAAGAACACACTAGGCTACAGCTCTGAGGCTGATGAAGGATACTCTCAAGCCAAGGAGAGATTAATAGGGGAAGCTAAGTGAGACGATACTACCAAACTTCAGTGGCCCTGAGGCAGTGTAAGAGATCACATTTCTATAGATTTGCCAGCAATGACGTATTTGTTAGTCAAAGGGTGTCGGCTAACTGTAACTCCTGTCTCTTATACACATCTAGATGTGTATAAGAGACAGTCCTCTTCATGTTCTGACATACTGGAAACTTGAATAACCTGGTCCATGGGTATATATAGGTATTCTGAATAATACATGGAAAAATACATCATTATTTCACTAATATCAGTACTGCACAGCCATCACCACTACCATTACAATACCTCCGCCACACAGCCATCATTACCACTTTCACCATTACCTGCACCACACAGCCATCATTATCACTTTCACCACTACCTGCACCCCTACACATCCACCATTACCACTTTCACCACTACCTGCAACACACAGCCATCATTACCAATTTCATCACTACCTGCACTAC